TATTGCCAAGAGTATTAACAGATTTTTCCATCACTGTGCCCAAATACTTGAGAGAAAATCTTAAGTGAAGAAGGATTTATTTTAGCTCCTGATTTCAGAGGTTTCATTCCGTCATAGTGGGGAGGGTGTGGTGGAGCAGAGATGTTCAACTCTTGGCAGCCAGGTAGTAGAGTGGAGTAATAACAGGAAGGGCCCAAGGCAAAGTATAGCTCCCAGGGACCTCCCTTCTCCAGGCTCCACCTTCCACAGTTCTACCACCTCCCAATAGTAAGTTCAATTTTGAATCCATCAGTGGATTAAAGCAGTCATTAGGTCAGAGCCTTCATGATCTAATTGTCCCTGGAAATGCCCTCACAAAAATACCCCAGTTGCCTAGCTGTTTCTCAATCCAATCAAGCTGACAATCAAAATTAACCATCACACCAAGTTTTTTACCTTTGCTTATAAGCTACACTCTCTTCATTTATATAAATAATACATTTAATTATGAATCAAATGGAACTTCACTTAACATAATTAAATAATTTTCATTTTCTGTATATTGTCCATTCATATATCTCATTTTTAAATGCTGTCTCTATTATTCATATCTAACTTTGTTCCACCCATCATATATTTGCAAGATTGCTTTTTCTTAAAAGACTTTTTGAAGAGCATTTGTAGGTTGCAGCAAATTGCGTGGAGGGTGCAGTTTTCTCACATACCCCTAAACAACTACCTTGTAGCCTCTCCTATTATTAACATTCTCTACAGAGAGGTACACTTCTGACGACAATGAATTTGTACTACACATCGTAGTTACCAGTCTTTAGTTTCCATTATGGATCACCTTTGATGTTTTATATAATATGGGTTTGCACAAACTTTTAATGACATACAACTATCATTATAGCATCATGTGGAATACTTACATAGTTCTAACCCTCTTCTGTGATCTACCTATTTATTTCATTCTCAATCCAAATTCTGGGTTTGGTGTAGAAATTACCAGTCACTTCCCAAAACCAGCACAAAATTGGGAATGTCTTGATGAATTAAGGATCAGCATACTGAAAAGTAAGAAAGCCAAAAAATTAAAATCAAAGAATCTAATAATGAATTACATGATATGGCTAAATAAAATATTATCCAAAAAAAGGGACACACCAAGAATAGTCTACACAATCCAACCAAATTTTCCCCTTGATGTTTCACTAACCTAGGATGAACAGGTAATTGGGCAGATTGCCTGTTTCTCCCAAACCTGTGTACTGTCAAGACTTTGTCTTGTGCTTATCAATTAGACTTTCATTTTTATATAAATGATTAATTTTTCTTTCATATGTGGAACCTAGATTTAAAAAACTAAGGAGACCTGCAGGAGGAGGAAGGATAAGAGATGGCACTGGGGGTTAATATGATCAAAGTAACTTATGTACATGCATGGAAATTCTGTAACGAGGGCTGAAGGTGTGGCTGATAGAGCGCTTGCCTCACAAATGTGAAGCCCTGAGCTCAAACCTCAGTACCACCAAAAAAATTCATAATGAAACCCATTATTTTTTACATTTAACATATGCTAATAAAAACTTAAGAATAATAATTCATATTAATTATGAATTTAATGCATTTAAGTCATTTACATTTTCTGCATACTGTATGTTCATATATCTGCCCATTTTCAATGTTGTTGTTCTGTCCCTCACATCCAACTTTGTCCCACCTATCATGTTAGCAAATCCCCACCTGTTTTTAAAGACTTGGCTTTCTTTTTTTTGGCCAATGGTATTATTTCTTTTTTTCCTTAAAATTTTTTTTATTGTTGTGCTGGGTAGGGCTACATTGTGGGATTTACAGAAGTTCTTACAACACATCATATATATCTTACTTACTTGAATTTACCCTCTCCACCATTCTCCTTCATCCCCCATCCCCCCATTTCTAGAATCATTTCACAGACATCATTTTTCCATTTACATATACACGTACACAGTACACAGGTTACACATATTCACCCTCCTTCACCATTTCCCCACCTTCTCCCCATCCCACTGCTACCTACCCTCTCCCACCACCTGCAGGCAGGACCTGTTCTGCTCTCCTGTTCTCCAGTTTTGTATGACAAAGAAAGAAGAAGAAAATGACATTTTTGCTTGTTTAAGATAGCTACACAGGGAGTTTCCTTTTGGCACTTTCATGTATATATGAATTATAGCTTGATTTAGTTCATCTCTATTTGTCTTCTTTCTACCTTAGTCCCTTTCTTATGGTGGTTTCAGTTGGTTTAAAAATTCTATATTCATTCTTGTAGAGCGAGTACATCTTTCTTAGAGTAGTTTTAGCATTCAGCAGAATTGAGAGGAGGGTACAGCATTTTCTCATATACTCCCAAACACCACCCCACAGCCTCCCCCATTAAAAACATCCTTCACCGGTGTGATATATCTTACAACTGATGAACTTACATTCACACATCATAGTCACCCATGGTTGACTTTAGTGGTCACCTTTGATGTTTTATGTCATATACATAAAACATGAGGAAAATGTAGGATGACATATATCCACCATTATAGTATCACACAGGACACTTTCACTGCCCTAAACCTCCTCTGTATTCTACCAATTTATTCCATTCAGACCCCAACCCTGGCAACCACCAACCTTTTCACTGTCTCCATACATTGACTTTTCCTGATTGTCATTTAATTGAATTCATAAAGAATGCAGGCTTTTCAGATCAAAATCTTTCACTTAGTAACTTGTACTTAAGTTTTCTACATGTCTTCCATGGCTTGGTTGCTCTTTTCTTTTTAGTGCTGAATAGTATTCCATTTTCTGGTTATGCCACAATTGATTTAACCATTCATCCCCAGAAGGTATTTTTGTTGCTTCCAAATTTTGGTAATTACGGATGAAACTGGTATAAACATTCCTGTGCAGATTGGTGTGGGTATGTTTTCAATTACTTTGTGTAAACATGAAGGAGTGTGATCGCTGGATTAGATGAAAAGAATATGCAATCAGCTACCAAATTGTCTCCCACAGTGGCTGTAGCCTTCTGCATTCCCACCACCATTATTAGAGCTCCAGGTCCTCATCGGCATTTCTGGTATTTTTCTAGTCATTCTAACAGCTGTATAATGGTACCTTATTTTTTTAGTGTGCATTTCCTTGACGACATATGGTGAGTACACTCTTATTTGCTGTTTGTATATATTCTTTTGCAAGGTCTCTGTTATTGTCTTTGGCCCATTTGTAATGGGCTGTATGTTTTTCTCTTGTTAAATTTAAGATCTCTTTGTATATGTTGCATAATGGTCCTTTATTAGATGTTTTTTGCAGTTTTTCTTTCAAGGTATGGTTTTTCTTCTCATTTTCTTGGCATTGTCTTTTACAAAGCAGAAGTTATAAACTTCGATGAAATCCAGTGTTTTAATTATTTCTTTCATGGATCTTGCCATTGCTATTCACAGGTCAATTAAGTTCTCTCCTGTGTTAAGCTTCTTCTTGGAGTTTTTTGGTTTTCATTTTGATGATCTTAATTCATTTATGAAGGCAGAGTTCTAATGACCTATTGTTAGAGGACTTCCCACCTCCCAATAGCGTTGCATTAGGATTAAGTTTTGAATTTTTTGGGAAACCATTCTTAGAAACCAGTAATTTATTCAGACTATGACATCAACATCTTATGATATTTTAAATAAAATATAACAATTATTTACCAAATATCTAAAAGCAAAAAGCAATCTATATTACTTATATGTTGTTATGGTCTGAATATGAAATGTTCCTCACGGCTCATGTGGTGACTGCTTGGTCCCCAGGTTGGGAAGTAGGTCACTGGGGACTTGTCTTTGAAGGTTATTCTTTGTTTGCAGTCCCTTTCTCTCTGCTTCCTGTCTGTCATGAGGTGAGGAGCCTCCAACACAAGCTCCTACCACCAAGCTGTTCCGACTCACCACAGGCCAGAATCAGCAGAGCCAAGAACTATGTGCTGAGATTTCTGAGCTGTGAACATCATAGTGAGATCTAGACTAATGTTAGAACAAATATTTGGGTATGTGGCTAAGGAAGTAGCCACATAAAATCAACTATCACACTGCCTGAAAGCCTACCTTGCCTCAAATGAGTATAATGTACCAGATGTCATCATAATTTTTGAGTTATATCCTTTTACCATTCCTTCTTTTAACCTCTTAGCTCATTAAACTTCAACTTTATAACAAATTCTTGCACTTTCTCTGATTCATTGGCTTCCTATGTCACTGAGAAAATAGAGGCATAAGAAGATTTTCAACAAGCTTTAAAACGTACAATTTCCAGCATATGAGATCAAATATTCCACATTTCTTCTCCTCAGAATGAAATTCCCCAAAAGTGGGGACTTGGCTTATTACCAGCACATATTACTATAACTGAGAAACAATAGACCTTAAAATTGTTGAATTAATAATGAGTGATTAAAATATTACTATCACTACAGAGCAAAGATTACCATTTTTTCATTTAATAAAATTTATTATGCATGTATTTCTCCTGACAGATGTAGCAGAGAATAGAACAGATCCTGTGCTGGGAGCTTATGTTTTAATTGAGGACTAAGTTCATGCTAGCTGCTACCATAAGCCCTTTTCACAAATCATCTATTTCAAATCTGTCAAAAATTGTTAGGCAAGAGCTAAGTATATTTTCAGGTGAGAAAACTAAAGCTTAACTCTCCTATCCAAGATCACATGGAGCTAGAATTTGGACTGGGATTTTTAAATATACATCTTAATTACAGACCTGCAATGGTCATGTGTGCATATATCCTCTTGCAAATAGAGAGGAGGAAACCTAACAGAAAGCATATGCAGAGGTTTTGCGCAACGACAACTCTGACCCCAAGATGGCAGTGTTTGCATGCAGGAGTGAGTGCAGGGAGGTCTGGTCTCTGATTGGCTGGCCACACTCCCCGAGACTCCTTTGGTTTAATACTCCAGAAAGAGAAGTGCTGAGCAGACAATCAGCTTGGGGGATAGACCTCTGCAGAATGAGAATGGAGCAGCATTTGAGGACCTCCTTGGTGGCTCTGTGCCTTTGTTTTTTTTGTAAGTTAGTGGGGAGTTTTAGCCAGGTTGACAGAGGAAGTCCAGGGAACATTTCCTTAGGATTTGGGGCAAAGGTGTCACGCATTGGGGTGGGAGGAGAGAAGAAACTAGGGACATTTTCTAGATTGCCTGAGATTCCTATGGGGAACAAAGAAGGGATGCAAAATACAGAGCATTAAGACCTGATGACTGATAATTTGATTCTCACTTTGCTCTCTGAATAGGGGTGAGTGGCAAAACCCAGGTGAAGCAGAGTCCTGGGTCCCTGACTGTCCTGCAGGGAGAGAACTGCACTCTTCAGTGCAATTATACCGTGAGTCCCTTTAACAACTTAAGGTGGTACCGACAAAACACAGGGAGAGGCCCCATTTCCCTGATGATCATGACCTACAAGGAAAGCAAAACCTCCACTGGAAGGTACACAGCAACCCTGGATGAAAATGCCAAGCACAGCTCCCTGTACATCACAGACTCCCAGCCCAGCGACACTGCCTCCTACATCTGTGTGGTGAGCGCACAGTGCTCCCTAGGCACTTGCAGCCGGTACCCAAACCTGCTCCTGGAGGCTGGCAATGAGGTGAGGAGGTGAAGCAGGGGCATTATATTTTTGTTTGTTTTCTTTGAAAAAATTCTGTTAGTATACATTAATGTTACAAAATAATAGGTTTCATTATGACATTTTCATACATATCATGATGTCCTTTGGCCAAATTCACTTCCCCATAGCTCTCTCTTGTCCCATATCCTGCCTTCTGCTGGTCCTCTCCATCTTCTGAAATAGTTCCCCTTCTGCTATAATGTTTTAAAAATAGTTTTTTAAATCTGGATTCTACATATGAGAGGAACCATGCCATGTATGTCTTTGTGAGTTTGGCTTATGCTACTGAAATAATTTCACTATAATTTCATTTATCCTTGTGCCCATTAGTGAAGAATGCCCCATAAAGAGCAAGCTAGTTGCAAACTTACAGAGTTTAATAGCTGCCTTTTAGGAACACCCTGCTTCTGCCTATATGTATGAGTCTGAGAACATGACAGCACGTGTAGGAAGATTCCATCTGAAACTCAGTGTCTGACCCATTGTCACAAGGAATGTGCACCAGACCGGGAAGATTCATTTCTGCTTTTGCTGGGAAGAAGAATCAAGTCGCTCAGAAATGGTGTCTCACCACCTGCACATCCATGTTTATTGCTGCACTATTCACAATAGCCAAGTTATGGAAACAGCCAAGATGCCCCAGCACAGACGAATGGATTAAGAAAATGTGGTATCTATACACAATGGAATTTTATGCAGCCATGAAGAAGAACGAAATGTTATCATTCGCTGGTAAATGGATGGAATTGGAGAACATCATTCTGAGTGAGGTTAGCCTGGCTCAAAAGACCAAAAATCGTATGTTCTCCCTCATATGTGGACATTAGATCAAGGGCAAACACAACAAGGGGATTGGACAATGAGCACATGATAAAAGCTAGAGCACACAAGGGAGGGGTGAGGATAGGTAAGACACCTAAAAAACTAGCTAGCATTTGTTGCCCTTAATGCAGAGAAACTAAAGCAGATACCTTAAAGCAACTGAGGCCAATAGGAAAAGGGGACCAGGAACTAGAGAAAAGGTTAGATTAAAAAGAATTAACCTAGAAGGTAACACCCACGCACAGGAAATCAATGTGAGTCAATGCCCTGTATAGCTATCCTTACCTCAACCAGCAAAACCCCTTGTTCCTTCCTATTATTGCTTATACTCTCTCTACAACAAAATTAGAGATAAGGGCAAAATAGTTTCTGCTGGGTATTGAGGGGGGGGAGCGGGAGGGGGTGGAGTGGGTGGTAAGGGAGGGGGTGGGGGCAGGGGGGAGAAATAAACCAAGCCTTGTATGCACATATGAATAATAAAAGAAAAATGAAAAAAAAAAAAAAAAGAAATGGTGTCTCACTTGCCTCAATGATGGGAATAAGCACATTTTGCTTAAAATGATGTTCTTGGTTCCATTCACTTTCCTGCAAAGAACATTATTTTATTCTTATTTATGACTGAATAATATTCCATTGTGCATCTATGCCAAATTTTCTTTACCCATTCGTGGGCACCTAGGCTGATTCCACAGGTTGGCTATTGTGACTAGTGCTGCAGTAATCATGGCTGTCCAGTTATCTCTGTCTTATGCTGACTTACATGCCTTCAGTTATATGCCCAAGAGCAGTACGGTAGGATCACGTGGTAGTTGTATTTCTGGTTTCTGAGAAACTTCCCTACTTACTTACATAGTGGGCCTACTAGTTTATATTCACACCAACAGTATTTGTTGCTTCTTTCCTTAATGATAGCCATTCTTACTGTGGTGAGATGGAGTCTCAATATTATTTTGATTTGCATTTCCTTTATAGGTAAAGATGTTGAACATTTTTTATTTATTTAGTGCCCATAATTTTTTGAGCTCTTTATATATTCTGAATATCAGTCCCTTCTCTGATGAATAGCTGGATATTTTCCTACTCTGTTGGCAATCTCTTCATTCTGGTAATTATTTCAAGGAGTCAAATCTTTGTTTCTTTGATAATTTCTTTTGTTTTTTTAGTCTTCATTTCCCTTTCTTTCTTTCTATCTTTTTTTACAGCACTGGGGTTTGAACTCATGGCTTCATGCTTGCTAGGCAGGCGTTCTTTCCACCAGCCCTCCATTTCATTAATTTATTCCCTGATCTTTATTATCTTTCCACTTACTAATATTGGTTTGGCTTGTTCTTCTTTTTCTGAGAGCTTGAGGTTCACCATTAGTCTGTTTATTTGAGTTCTTTTTTAACATAGGCAATCATAGCCATAGTCTTTCCTCTTAGAACGTCCTTTGATACATTTCAAAGTTGTGTTTTCATTTTCATTTAATTCCAGGAATTAAAAAACTTCCTTTCTGATTTCTTCAACAACTCGCTGATCATTTAATTAATTCTGAGTTGTTCAAACTCCACATGTTTGTATGGTTTGTGTAGTTTCTTCTATGAATTTCTAATATCATACCATTAACATCTGGTTAGGAGCAAGAAATTATTTGAATTTTTTTGTATTTGTTAAAACTTGCTTACAACACAAGTGCAATTTATTCTGGGGAAACTTCCACGGGCTTCTGCACCTGATGCATGGGATATTCTAAAGATGCATGTTAAGTCCACTTGGTCTATGTGGCAGTTCAACCGTGAAGTGTCTACGCAGGAGCTCTACCACTTGAGCCATGGTCCCAGCCGTTCGACTTTGAGATTCTTTGTGGATTTTTTTTGTCTAGTTGATCTCTTTATTGAGAATGGTGTGTTGAAACTAACACTAATATTTTGTATGGACCACTCTGTCCCTTTTTGTCCAAAAGTGGATATTTTCTGAAATTGGGTAAACTGATGATTGGTGCATATTGTTGTATTTTCTCAATGCATTTTTCCCGTCATTAATTTGTAGATACCTTTTCAATCTTTTCTATTTTTGGCTTGAAGTCTACTTTGTTGACTTCCATTTGCTTGGTACATAATTTTTCATCCTTTCAGTTTCTTTCTCTGTGTGTCTCTGCCAGTGACACATGTTTTTGTAGACAGGAAACAGTTGGATCTTATTTTTTTTTTTTTTTTTTTTTGCAGGTGAGTCTAGGCTAGGCAGAGAACAAGGGGCCCGGGGGCAAGGGGATCATGCAGGAAGACTTGTCCACTGTTCCTTCTGTGTCCTGAGAAAATGCCCAAACCACCACTGTCCATAGAACTGGACCAGGACCAGCAGAAAGGCCCAGATGAAAACAGAACCTGAAAACACTCATTCACTGTAAAAAAAAAAAAAGGAAATCCAGAAAAGCCCAAAGAAAATTGGCATAATCCCATCGCCTACCAGTAATCATTATTAGCATTTTAATGTCAGTATTTCCAGTAGCGTTAGTTGGATCTTATTTTTAAATCCATTCAGGCATTCTGCATCTTTTAATTGGGGAGTTAAGATTACTTACATTTAAGGTTGTTATTGAGAGGTATTTGCTGATTCCTATCATCTTTCTGGTTCCCCCACCACCTGATGATTTCAGTAGTGCTTGTTCTTTTCTTTCTCTCTCATTCATCTTAGGTGTTTGCTGGTTTACTGCATTCAACATGTTCAGTTCTTTCCTAATTTTTTTTCTTGTTTATGGATTCTTATAAGATTAATTCTTTCCAGAGCTCTCGTGATTTGTGGATGTCTTTTTTTCATCATGTATTGGGATATCTTATATATCTTCTGCCATGCTGACTTAGTGATCATGACTTGCTTCAGTTTGTGCTTAAATCTTAGAAGGTGTTTATCTATTCATTGATTCTAAAGGATAATGACCAGATGTAGTTATCGTGACTGGCAGTTATTTATTCATTTGCTTTACTTATATCATTCCATGTTTTCCTGGCTCTTAGGGTTTCTGTTGAGAGGTTTCACATAGTTCTGATTTGTTTGCCTTTGTAAGTCACTTAGTGCTTCTCTCTTGCAGCTTTAAAATTCCTTTCTTTGTTCTGTAGCCTTGGGATTTTAACTATAATGTGGACAAATTCTTTTCTGATCATATCTACTTGGGGCTCTGAATGATTCCTATATTTGTATGAATATTTATTTCCTTAGATTTTGGAAATTTTCTGCTGTAATTTCATTGAATCGGTTTTCTACATATTCATAGATTTGGATTTTTTTAATTGTTTTATTATTCATATGTGCATACAAGGCTTGGGTCATTTCTCTCCCCTGCCCCCACCCCCTCCCTTACCACCCATTCCACCCCCTCCCTCTCCCCTCCACTCCCTCAATAATAGATTTGGATTCTTAATTGCTCCCAGAGTTCTTGAAAATTGTGGTTATGGTTGCTTGTTGATCTCTTTATTGCTACCTGTGTGTAATAATTCTTAAATCTTATTTATCAATCTCTGATCCTCTGTCTTCTTCTTGGTTGAGTTTATTGGAAATATTGTGTAGTCAGTTTTGTCTTCTTTTGGGGGTGGGTATGGCTGGGTTTGAAGATAGGGCTTTACAGTGCAAAGCAGGCACTCTACAACTTGAGCCACTCCTTCAGTTCACCAGTGAGTTTTAAAAGTGGAGTTATCGAGCTTTTCACTTTCAAGATTTCTGGCTTTTTTTTTTTTTTTTCATAATCTTTATCTGTTTTGTGAATTTTTTGTCAAAGACTTGAACTGACTTCTTTACTTCATTCATTGGTTTATTTGTCTCCTTTTTGAGGTCATTTATCATTTTAAATTTAGACTAGAATTTTTTGGCATTTCAACAGTTTAGATATTGGTGGATTCTGTAATTGAAGAGTCATAATCTTTAGGAGGCATCATATTGCCTTGCTTTTTCATATGTCTTGTCTTTTTACATCTGTTAGTATGGATATCTGTTCTGTCTTTATATGGGTTCTTTTTAGTTAGGAGTCCTCTTTTAGAGTCTTGATCCCCACTTCCATTTAGTGGAGAGAAAGCAGACCACACTAACAACAACAACAAAAATAAACCATATATGCAAAGGTAGTAAATAAAAAACTGCACCCCTAATAAGGTTAGAAAACAAAGGAGCTAAGATGCTTAAGCTAA